GTGACAGCAGCAACAATACCAACCAGGCGCATTAAATAAAACAATTTTAGCATTTAATATATATAATATATACAAATATATATATTTCATTATTTTTCCAATTACATGAAGCTTTATTAATACACGTTTCTTAAGATGGATATCCATTTGGTGCATAACAACTATGTAAAAATAAAACAGCCAAATTAAATTGTAAACAAGATATATTGGTAAAGCTACAGAGTATATTCGAATCATTTGTACAGTATAAAAGAAGCTAACTAATACTAGCAAATACAACTAAGTATCTATTATAGTTTCGGAATGTCATAAATTGATATTAAAATATCATGTATGTCTTTAACACTAAAGTATATTGTGCGTGTAAAGTGAGCGGTTATGTCTACGTTGTGAAGAACGGGAAGAAGTTTGCTACGGCTTGGTGTTGCAAGGTCCTACGTTACTCGCGATTTCTTTTAACTTGGACAGAAACCCTTGGTTCACGAGGTCGTTTATGTTAAATAAATATCTAACGTGCCTAACGAGAAATAGAAAAGAGGACCAAGTTGTACAGGCAAGGTAGGTGCCAGACACGGAATTTTCGTGGCCTAGTTCACCTAGCTTAATTTGCGTAAGCATAGAATGTTGAAACGCTACAACAATTTTTGGGCATTACTACGTAGATCCAATTTCACCAATTTAAGTCACCCTTATTTATTTAAATTGTTTGTTAATTTATTAGTTTCCTTTTACTACGTATTTAATTTTATAATATAACAGTCTTTCAAATTCTATACATTGTAACATAACATTAATGTTTTAACAATTTTTTTAAATTCTATTTAATCAACAAATCTATATAAAAGATAACGAATAGATCGTTTTTAATATTTATCGTTGTTACGTTAAGTTGTTTTCATCGCAGTAGCAAATACTATAGAAATGAAATAAAACATTATGAGGACTTCCAATACGGTCGATCGACAAATCCTATTTCGAATTCGTTATTTTTCTGACTACTTTAAAAGTTAATTATAATTTCTATTTCGTTTAATAGATGCATGTCAATTACGGTCTAAACTGTTTATTTTGGCCTCAAATAAAACGTAAAATTTTGATGTATTACCTTGTTAAAGCATAGAAGCTTTCAACATTTGTTTGTATATTGGCGGAGATTATTCACAATCTTTGAAACACACGCTTTTTTTATAAACACTAATTTTTATACAATAGCTACCACAATACGTCCCTATGGATTTGACTGCTGCAGTACGTAACCATTTGAGACGTACGAAGTAGAATTTCTGCGTGTGTACCTTCTGGATATGCTAACTTCGTACTATTGAAGTAACCTTTTCATGCCACAAATAAGTATTAAACCAACGCGGTAATTTGCATGGTAACTAAACACTTCCTTCCTTAAACAATTCTGAGTCAGCAAATGAGCTTAATGCGGACACTGCACGATTGCCAGGAAAAAACATTGGATATTTATAACCAATCGTTGGTTTTATATCATTTTTGTCTGAGATACATAATTGGACGTAGTTAAACAAGAAGGATCTAATGCACATCCTGTCACTTTCGAGATATGGCAGCTTGAAGTTTAAAAGTGTTTCTCACTATCGTTTTATTTTCAAAACTTATAATGTCATGTAACTCCAGAGATATTTATTTATGTTTATATGTTGGATATTTAAACTGATCGAAGAGGTTACACTTTAGGAACCGTTTGGTACATAAAACCCATTTCTTGCTAATTTTGCAGATTGGATCCTTTTTGCTGAACCACGTCCAATTTATCCGTAATTATTTAACTGAGTAGTTATGCATGTACTGAAGCTGCGGTAATCAGCTAATAGTTATTTCACGTTTTTCAACATTTCGTAGAAAAAAAGGCGTACAAAAAAACCACAATGTTTAAAGGACTATTCACACACATCAGGGTCATGCCCGGGACATGGACGGGCCGTTCTCCGTCAGGAGCTCAAAAAATATCGCTGCGTATCCACGCAGCAGCCACGGTTAGTTTTAGTACTGTATTTACGTAAACAAGCCGTTTTTTGGCGAATAGAAATACTTTGAGACAGAAAGACAATGAAAATTGAAACCAATGACGTTACCAATGACTGACATTAGCTAATAACGAACAATGACGAAATTATTGTTAAAAGAATTCTTTGGCGTCTTCAAATGTCATAGTCACTAGATTGAATAAAATAAAATTCATTACATTTTTTCAAATTATGCTAAAGGTCTAAGCCCGAAATATTTTATATTAGTTATTTTATTATATTATTATTATAGTTTATATTGACATAATAATACACCGTGTATATTATATTCAATTATGTAAAATATAGCCTCCAAAACTTCAAACTGGAATATCTATAATTCCAAACTTCTCAGAGTAGCAAACCCGAAACCAAATCAGTTAAAGAATTCAAACTCTACATTTTTCATAAACTGGCGCATTCAAATGTCAACAAAAATTTATATGGGAATTCGCCATTGTTCGAAAATTCAGTCATTGGTACTACAAAATATAAATTCGTGGTTTGAAAACTTTCCCTACGTTAAAAGTTTATTATATCTGTACGCCCTTTCTTCTCCGAAGTAACGAAAGCCAATAACGCTTTTGTAGAAAGGGGTGGATTGCCACTTCATGATTAATCCTCAATAAATAGGTATTTCTATATTAGTAAAATAAATTAATTCGCTATCATAGGTATTGAGCAACGTGGACCTTGCAAGCACGAAGCGACAGCTGCATCAATGTTGCGTATTTTTTCAATTCAAAGAGCTGCCATTGCAAAATAGGCACTATCGGCGCACAGCATTGGTGAAATTATTAGGGGTATGATCACACTTCAGAAGACAAGACATTGCTGAAGGGTTCTCACAAAAGTCTAACAACCCTTAGATAGCTTGGCTAAGGTATGTATGTAATCTTACATAAAATATATACATAATTAACATGCACATAACGTACAGACGTTAACATTATATAAAATAGTTTCGTTTTTTTATTATAATCTTCTACAATGTTCTATATTTATATATATTTTTATATTTAATAAAATTTATATTTAATTTTGCGTAAACAATCGTAGCTTACATTAAAATATTCAAGTAAATTATGAAAATAATTACGTGTGGTAATTGAAAATTCATAATCTACTATACCAACACATTGATATGAAATTACAAATATCTTTGTCATAAATCAAACAGTAGGAAAGCCTTAGCCAAACTATTTAACTTGTGCATATCTAAAGGCGGTGACACTTGCAATAATTTATAAATGCTAAAAAAATTCCGTTGCTATGCCATAAAATGCAACGGAATTGTAAAAATAAAAAAAAACATAAAATCAATAATGAATTTCATCACTTGTAACATTATTTCTGCATGATTTTGAAACTAAATTAATACGTTTAAAATAATTGCTATATTTTAGGTTTGTTCTTGTTTTACTATCTTTCATCACCTTTAACATAACTTTTCATACACTGAACCACCAAATATTTTTTATCTGTAACAAATTAGTTTTGAAACACGAACACTGAGTCGAGAGTTACTTTTCTAATAAAATCTTATTTTATATTCTTAAAGGACAATTATTTGTATTTTAATTACAGGCAAGTCGTTGCTGGTAACATTGCATTATGAAGATTTAAAAAAATATACGTTATCAAAGGTGTTAATAATAGTGTGAGTTACTTTTAACAATTCCTTTTTTATTTTTAAATTAGCACCAATTCAGACTTATATCAATGTTATATACTACATTAGTGTACTTTATACCTGCAAGTATTAATTTGTAATAAATAATTTTGAAAATACAAACAAATTGCACTTTCTCGTTCAGATTAACTCCCGTTTACATCAAAGCAATATGCACATTCCACAATCATGATTTTATTATTATTCCAGAAAACCTAAGCCAGTGTAAACAGCCAGCAATAAAATGGCGAAGTTCGAAGCTCTTACCAACTATACAAGAGCGGGGGCCCCGGTATGGCAACAAATGTTGGTTCGACTCCATCGAGATCGAAGGATTTTTCTTCGTAGTGTTCGATCTTTGCATCAATAATAATCATAAACTAGTGGATATTTTCACAAAAAATATAAGACGATCTTGACAGGTAGTAAAAATATCATGATATTCAATAAATAAATATTACATTTACACAGTTGCTATATATTTCATATCAACTGTTGCGGGTGCAATATGAAGTCCTACCTTACCACTACCCATCCGCTTTGCATCAGATATCATTAACAAATGTCGCAAGCGCAGGGCAGTGAGCGTGATATTTCTACTAATCATAAGAGCTCCTCTAGCGGAAATAATGACATGTAATACAAGTTCATGTACTTATACCCAAATTACAAAATTTGTTTCTTAGTGTTTTGATTTAGATATCTAGAACATATTATTATATATGAATAGCTGAAGATGTAGGGATCACGAAATGTTTCTAAACCAAAACTCAACTCTTAAAAATTGAATCGAACAATTGGATAAAATGACGATTATGAAATATGGAATATAACGGAATTAAATCTTTGCAAGCTTGCAGGTAAATACTTATTATTTCGGCAATTTCCTTATTTCAATATGAAAATGTTGAAATTAATACGTATGATTACGAAATAAATTCCTTAATTGTGACCATATCGATTTAATTACATGATTACAAAGTTTGATATGATTTTGGCAACAACATTATTTTTTACATAAATTATTCTATGCTTTTGTTTATTGATTTTCATTATTTTATTTTTATCAAAATGTCGTATTAAATAATCTTAATTCTAAGTAATTTTTTTATCTACTTCTAATAAACGTTTAACTTAAAACAGTTGTTTTTTGTAGAACAAAAGTCCTATACACAAATTACTAAAATACATTTCATACTCAACACAAATCCTAAATTTTATAATGCTGCGACAGTCGCATTGCGATCGTTGATAATACAAAGAATCAACAAATAACGTCGAAAGTTAAAAATATAACCTCGGCAAAAATTCATAAGCAATTATTTTACAAAAACTGTAAATTATTATAAAAACCTCCACCATGACATCAGTAATATTGAAATCACTAGCGACTACGCAAAACATTTGCATAGCAAATTGTACAGCGCGTTAAGCGGTTACAAGAACTACATTTTTTTATTATTTGTTGCGGTCGGTAGCGTCTTGACACACTAAATTCATGGTGGAGGGTTAGAAATGCCTAATAACCGTTTTGTTGCCTAGGTGTACTCAACCATTTTGAGCAGTGATGCACTCTCGTTAGTATTCCAAACGTCAAAGAGTCAGATTGCTCTCGGATCGGATTCTAATGAGAATGACATGTGTGTGCGAAGACCCAGCATTACTGGACCTCGGCAAATTACACAGCCTTTAAAATTTTTTTTACGAAGTTATACATGAGCGGCCCAAAAAGAACGCAAGCTTAATCACAAGTTATAAATGTGTCTTAAAAACAAGATTGTCTTAAAACAATGGTAACTTTTAGACAATAATATACATGTAAAAGATGTATATACTATACAAATGTCACGTAGTGATTAGTATATACAGCTAGGTATTCGCGTGGCGACCTACCTCGCCTTAAAGACATGGGTCGAACGTCGCCTCGCCTCGTGCTGTTTCGCCTCACGTGATGACAAGGCGAGGCGTTGGCAGTATGTTGGCATGCTCCCCGAACATCATGATTGAAGTCCACTTAAGCTGGTCTTCGGTGACAGCGCCCGCTATTGTGCAACCGAACCAGGGCCGGTCTTTGCTCCTGAAACATAAAAAGATTATATTTACAACACATTTTACGTTGTTTTAACGAAATGTTTGCCCTTTTTCTCAATTTCAATGACATGAAGATACCAGTTTAAAGTTAGCTTTATTTATATTTCAATGCACTCAGAAATACGCAAATAGCGTGGTTACTTTGATTCCTGTATAAATTTATGCCATATGCCAGTGCTGGGAACAATGCGTACTGTGCGTGTTTGATTGAAATATAAATAAATACATATTTTTTTACACATATTTAAAATACAAAATACTTTCATGTGGTGTATTAATATTATACAACACGAGTACGAAATGTGGCATTTAGATCATTTTTATTTAAAATTTAAATGAAAAAATACAATCATTGCCACGAAACGAACACCGCGAAAGTATATGAAATAACAACTACAAAATATATTTTTACGTAGTAACTGAAATACAAAATATTCAATTACAAGTGATTCAAATTCTGCCCGCTCTGTTAATAACATAAAAGAGCTGACCTTTTAGGCTTATTGTTCCTAGGGATAAAGGTGATGGCCCACCGAGACTGCGGATTCCGCTTCGGCTCGTGGCCGACGTACCACAGGATGTCTTTTATGTTCCACTCTTCTATCTTCTGTGAACCCTGAAACCGTCCAATACATTTCTGTAGTGTCTATTTACCTGCACGTCTAAAATTTGGAAAAGACTTCGGGTATCAGTCACAATATGCTAATTAAAAATATTATGTCAAGAGATAATAATATGATCGATGCTGATGTTAAATAAAACAATGAAGTAACTGAAAAAATAAATGAACGCAAAATATTGTCACAAGTAGACAATATTTTGCGTAAAGAATCTGAAAGAATCTCATCTGCATTGTTTTACTCGCAAAATTCGTTATCTAATAGAAACGTTTTAATCCGACACAAAACATTTCATCGTTTGTAACATTGCAAATTTGCGAGTAGGTTTTTTAGGAAATTTGTTCGAAGAATCGGAGACCGGATTCGGTCTAGTTCGGCGATGGATTTAAGTTTTCTAGCGGTTGGCAATGTTCGGCTTCCGCTAGTACATTGGTCGTAAGCGCTTAAGTTTTTAAACAACTTCAAAAAAAAAGGAGGAGGTTTTCAATTCGACTGTATTTTTTGTGTGTACGTTACGCGATTACACCCTACATTTGTAATTTCGATTTCCATGATTCACTTTACTCGAAAGAGGGTACCTCAGTAGAGGTCCAATACAAATTTGAAGAAAATATTCCGCAAATTAAGGGATGAATCCGGTTTATTGAATTCCACCCAAATTCCGTTAACTGACTTCTTTAAAACTTGACAAATAGAGATGTGATTCCACAAATTTTGGAGGTACCTCAAAATTCTAAATTAGGAAATGAAACTATTTTTTCGTACCTTAATCGCGTATATTTGTTTTTTTCAAACAAACCAACATGTTTCGTGCCCATTGCAGGTCCCATGGTTGTTTCATTTCCTATGTGTTGTAACAATCACGAATACCTAAGAATCCGGTAAGAATTTATTTTCTTACCTGTTTGTCTTTGAAGTAGCAAAGTTTGGAGTTTTTAAACTCGAACATATGCAATTTGAACGCTTTCGAGCTTTCACTGGCCAGCTTGAGTTCCCCACAAACCGACGTGTTATGCCTCATCGCTTCCATGTCATGCAGCAACTTGTTCTCCCTCACAAGTAGGTAGTTGTCTTTGCGGTCCTCCTCGTCCCAATACCCCCAGCGAAGCACGACATCGAGGACGATCTCATCGTTGTGGACGATGCGTCGCATTGCGTCGTTGCAGATCACTTCCTCGAGCATGAGAAGGTGCGACTCGATGTTCGCTTTCTCGCACAACTCTATGCACACGTCCGAGCACGTTTTGTTTGGATTCAACTGTCAATGCGAAAATGCAAAATTGTGACGGTGTGTAACGATAATATAAAAGTAGAAGTAATGAAAGGTTATGAGTACATATACCAAAGTAACAATACAAAAATCCGATAATCTCTGTTATTAATGAGGTGAGTATATATATGAGTAAAAACAAAAAGTTAAATAGGTAAATTTAACTTTTTGTTTTTACTCATATATATACATTATGTCTATTTTGTGTTTGTGTAATGTTTATTGCTGTGCAATATTTAATTTTATTAATATTTTACTGCAATTATAATTATTATCATTACGACTTTTGATTATTTTCTTTATCTAATCGTTATTTGCGTCTATTTGCCGCTTAAATGTTTCATTTTAATTTTTGTTATTAGTAATTCCAAAACGTATACTTTATTATGTTCTAGTCCACAGGCGATGGCAAAATAACAACGAGGGCTATATTCGCATAATCTTTCGACATGCTCTTTTAATTTGCTTCATATTGTTAAAATTACTTACTTAGTTCTGATTTTTTTTGCTGACTTGAAAGAAAAGAGGAGCCTCTATTAACTGATTTTTTTTTGTAAGTTCTTTCAAATAACTCCTTTTTTTATTCTCCAAATCTATTATTGTTGATTAATAAAATACGTATTTACGTACTTATAAATAAACACGTATCCAATTCCTTAAAATGTTTTGTCATAAAATTTTGCCGGGATTAAAAATTGTCAATAACAATTATTGGCATAAACACGTCTCTAACAGTAACTTGTAAAAAAATTTTTGCACGTACATGTACATATGTATCTGTGCCAGTTGGCACCTGTACCAAGTCTGCAGGACGTTGTCGAGGTATGCGTTCCAAAGCTACTTAGGTCACCCACGTGGTCTAAATTTTAGTGCGCAAGTCAGTGTACATCTTATAAACATACGTACATGAAGAAAGAGAGCCTGCCAACGCAGACTCTCCGTGATTATGCGTTCCTAGTATTCATTCCCTCGATACTCCCGAGTTCCCTAATAAAACGGACTGTCATCATCGTATTATTTTATGCACATTATGTTATGCGATTACTCTTACATTTGTGAATCGACTTCGATGAGTCTTTTTTTTTTTGTTGGAAAGGAGTGCCTCGGTAGTGGTCCAATTCAAATTTGAAGAAAATATTCCACCTCTAATTTAAAATTTTTTTAAAAAATATCAATGGACGTAATTCCACAAACTTTTGGGGACGATTTTTTTAAATAAAAAGTTGTAATTATTTTATATTATTTTCTACTGTTTATGGTAAAATACTGCTGATATTATTTTATTTTTATACTAGATAAACACGGCATGCCACCGAAAGAAAAAGAGGTATATTTTTTGAATGGCCCACCTGATACTTCAAAATGGTTCTAGTACTTTAGAAACTTTTGTGGGAGTGTAACAGTTATATAGATTTTATTTAGTTCTCAAAAAAGAAGTTAATTTGACACCAAACACCTCATTACTTAGTCGCGATAGTCCAATCATTTGTTCTATTGACATGCAATGGGAGAAATTTATAAACAGTTTTTTAACCGTTCTATCTAACAACGTGGTACTAATTTTGCGAATGCCTGGCAGTTAAAATAGTATCTGACATTGCGTCTTGCATCGAATATGCAGTGAATTATTGATTTTGCACAACAATCTTGACAGGAATTAAATATAATTACTTACCGCAACTTGGAAACAAGTGGAACGATCCTTAACATAGACCCACGCTTTTAAATCTCCCGCAGCTTTGGGCGCGGTCGGCGCTGAGTTGCTCAGCACACGCAGCAGCACAGTCCTCACGGCTGCTTCTCTCCTCTTCTCAGTTTCATTCGGTTCCCATATAGCCTCGTATTCTTGTATCAAATCTCGCACTACGTAGACTTCCTTGGAAGACCACGCTGTTTGCAACGTGTTGCTCGTCTGCGGAAATAAATTAAGCTTTATTTTACTTGACACAATACTACAGTTGGGCATAACCAAGAGACTATGTATCTTTCTCTATGCGATAGAATATTTTAGCTTTTACAATTATTATGTTAATCCTTTATTTCTGATATTAAAAAGTAATAACATTTATAAACAAATCCCAGGGTCTTGAAAACCGCTTTCTACCCAGGAAAAAAGCATTCTAATTTCAACAGGAATAATGACTTCTCCGTACCGCCTTGCGATCCAGTATTTCCTCTGATGAAAAACTCTAGTCGTAGTTCTCTTTTTTTTATAATATATGAATATATTTTCATTTATGAGCACTGGGAGTAACAGCATTAATTTCGATACGCCCGGTAAATTCAGGACCCACTGAGAAAGGTTTGTTTCCCGAATAGGCCCTAACGGAAATCGAAACCGTAACCTTATCATTTAGCACCCACCGTGCAAACCGTCGGCCACCGTGGTCGTCCAGTGAGTTTTATTCTTGCACAGAGTAGAAAATGCTGAGTAAAAATAATTTCTACCTTTTGAATATAAAAATATATCCGCATATAGTTAAATATAATTTTATTTAATATTCTTAAATGCAAAAGCAAATGTAAAACAGTTAAATAAAAAAAAACAATATGCATTTTTGTTACGAAATTACTGCTGCTACTATGAAAAGTGGAAATGTTCTGTTGTTTCATATCATACTGATAGACATATAATCTTGCTTGCCATTAAATAATAAAATTATTAATACGTTTTAAATGATTAAAAAAATGGTGTACCAAGTTTTAGAATTTAATGTAAGCAATACGCTAAACAAATAATCACTTCCAAAACAAATGACAAATTCTTTCGCCAATATGGCAAGCATTATAGTCATCGAGATTATTAATTCATACCATCGATACAATAAGAATACAAACACGTAGTAGTAATAACAAAATATCAACATCAATGTTAGTAACATGTAACAGTTGTTAATAGCTTCGCTAACAACATTGTTGTTAATTAGTGTTACAAAATCGATCCCACATCGAGTGTTGTACGGTCTCATACATTCTTCGGTATAACTCTGCACACGCGGCGACCTACTTTAGCCAGGTGCCTCATTTTATTTTAAACACGTAAATCACACTTTATGACGTTACTAACTTATCACCGATACACTACATCGAAATTTGCCACCATAACTTATATTATACATAACACTTGTATTTTATTCCAATATACTTTTACGATTTTCCTTGGAAGTCTTTCTCTGCGTTAGTACCACTACTCGTACAATACATGTATGGAGTAAGGTGGCCCACACAAGTGTTGTACAGCTGTGAACATTTTTGTACACTAGTATTTAAAGCTCTGAGTGGCACTACAACTGCTTTGGACAGGAATGTTGCTTACCACCAGGCGCACGACTTGTTCTTCCCGTCAGTTGTTATCACAAAAAAAGTATATAGCATAACGAAGTTTATACCTAAGACAATTGACATAAAGTGAATTATGAATTAAAAATTCGCATCCATTCTGTTCGGCGGCATGTAAATTGAGCCTTACTGTGTCGAGAAAAGTCAGGTGTTGAAATAGTTTCAAATTACATTAATGTAAATAAACATAACATTTTAGGATTACAATTGTACAACGTGGAACTTAGTATATGGAACTATTGGGAATAAATGTCGGCGGTGTAATTAAGCCAAAAACATGCAGTGCAGATACATCCATTATTGTAACATTGCTACACTGAAGGTGATTTTCATGAACTATACCCTCGTGTGATGGTCGTGAAATTACGACCAGATGATAAGAAATTTTGCAACTACTTTAGAACGTCGATTACCGCTTTTGATAAAATTTATAAAAAAATAAAGATATTATAAGTATCGCATAAGTTATCAACAAACTCACGTCCGTAATACGGGCCTATAAATTTATGAAACTGTATGCAGCTAACATTGGAAAGCAATCGTCATCACACGACTGCAGTCGACCGCGTACAGTTGACGTCACGAATACTCGTACATACATGCAGTTCGTGTTATAGCACCGTAAGAGGTCAAATGTTGTAAGTATTGTTAACGAGATTTTATGGACCGACAAATTAAGCCAGAAGGGCTTATCTATTGTTTCAATAGGATAATAAAAACTAAGACTCCTGTTTTTACAAAACATAATAAAATTGTATATTTATTGTCGTGTAATGCACTCATACATTTTGTAAATGATTGTTCTATAAATAAATGACTTTTTTCCACAATGTAACCTATGGAGCATATAACCATGTAACCTAACTTATCATCCTGCAAATTTAATGGTACCTATACTAGTTTTGCATAGCTACGGGAAGACACGTGTTTCGCCGAACCGACTATTACATTTTGTTCTTCTACAAATATATATGTCGATAAGTCGAATCAGTCCAAACAAAGTTTTGGGGCTGTTTAAAAGAATCTATGAAGGAATTTTAAATGTTTGTTTGCATCGCAGAACAGACCGTGCGGAAATGTTTGTGAATACCTGTGTGGGAATCACCAGCCATGATGGCCACATAAGCACAAGCTAATTCGTAAATGGTGCAATACTGACTTGCAATGTGTCCGATGTGCTTACCAAAGCGGTGGGCATCACCGTGGGCGCCCACACAGACGCCAAGTTCTCTGCGGTCATCTTATTCGCGTGCGCCATTGTGTGCATGAAGTGCAGATGCGCGAAAAGTTTGCGCGCCGTGTTCCGCGCTACAAGTGGCAGTGACGTCATTACGCGACGAAACGCCGCGTGACGGGCTGACTTTTCTTCTATTGCTGTTGGCATTAAATTATATGTATTACGTATATAGCTTTGACTATCAAATAGCTAGTCTGGCAACAATAGCAAGATAAGCAACTTTTTCGTAGTTACAAAATTAAGTTTGCCTAGGTTTAATTAAGCAAGAAATTACGATGTAAGGTTTAATTTCATAGCTAGCTTAAACTTGGCCAAAGTTCGTTTGTATTAGTAAAGGGAATGACTCTGGCTTAAGCACGTGGAGAAAAAACTTTACAGAGTGAATTTTGGGTACTTACGGTGGTATGTCAACCAGAATTAGGATCTCCTCAAAAAGATCAGGTGAAAAGTGCTCAAAATAGACAAATTGCTCAAACGCTGCAAAGGGCTTACCTAATGCATCGACAAGCGCTTGATGTTTGTTCTGTGGCAGCAGTGGCTCAGGTAGATCTCTAAAGAAACGTTTGAGAACCCCCGCCACATCGTGCTCTGAGTGCTGCCCTGGCGCTAGCTGAACGGACCACGAGTCGCGTCTGAACCGCGCTAGAAGTTCCGTCAGCACAGAGCTGCTGCCAGCGCGGCGGTATATGCCTTCGGTCAGACTGCCTGTAATTAATCATAAAGTCTTAATTTAACTCCATATTTCAAGACTAGAATGCACTGTTTAAATTTATTTGTTTTTGTGTGACTGATGTTCTGAAAATTCTTATTCACTCTAGCCTTGCAAAATTCCAAATTGTAGATTTCAAGAAGCAAAAAGTAGTGCAGAGCTTTGGCATAAAGTATTACAAGAAAAAGATTGCAGTCTACAACAAATTTCCTCATTCATACACCACACGGGTGATACGCTAACGAACCCTGGCAAGAAACGTATTTCTATAGTCTGTCTTTTTTGATGACGGAGTAAAATGACATTTGCAGGGTTACCAATTTCATAAAATTTTAACTAGTTATGTAGTTGTTGTCGATAGTTTTATCGATAGATTGTGAAAGAAAATAAAATTTTGCCCAAAAAAGGACTGAATTGTGAATGTTACGACGTTCTAATAATTACTAATGGCGTTATTGCCTTCTTTATTCTTATTTTGACAGTTGTCAGTCTATTAGTATCGAGATCAATTTTTATTCATATACATTTTAACAAGAATAGCCGGATTTGATTATGTATATTGAATTAAAACCAAAAGCTTTAAAAATGCAAATGTCTCCTCTTTGTATTTTTCATAAACAAAGTTGTAAATACAGTGCTGGAGTAATTGGATGAATAATGGATCGAGGATGATTCAAATGAAACAAGTTCAGCTATTTATTTCATAAGCATGACCAATGTGCAGTCGATAGCCGATAGAATATTTATGGATCGCAAGCGAGCAACATTTTTGCACAATAAACTGTCATTTTCCTCAATCTTCAAAAAGACAGATTACATATTGAATAAACAAGGGCATAGCCAATTACTTTGCTTAAGAAACCCAAATGATTTATCTAAATTGTTTTGTAACTGTAATATTTCGATGTCGAATTACACCCATATACAAATCAGTTTTTGTGCACAATTATATATGCATACAACGATTTTCGTACATTTCGCTGGACGTATTCAAGAATATTTTATAATCACGCACGCTACCTTTAGTGTTCGATCCCATAAACTACGCATGTTTGTGGGATGCGGTCTACGGCGCTCGCTTACCCGCGTACACCCCACTGGTTCTAAATACATTCGTTGCGCAACTGCAAGGTTTGTAAAACTGTTGCCATACGCAATAGAAAGGATGAAGCAAAGGTTTACGTGTGAATGGGTGCTATATTAAAGACGTAAGTATGGAATTTTCCGGACTTTTGGTCATTATGGAACGATGAAAGTGGAACCAAAGCTAAGTTACGTACGTACGTACACTCTCAGAAATGTATTGAGAGAAACCCGACAAATGAACCACTTTTATGCTGTGATCGAGATTTCGAAAATCTATTCAACAAACGAACCTACTTTGGAACCTACTTTTGCGCTACTTTGGAGGATTTCAACATTACTGCCTTGTCTGGACCCTAATGTACTTATGAAAAGCAGTAAATAACAGAGGTAACAAAAGAGGATTGACGTCTTTTTGTTTGTTTTTTTTTTATTTTTATTGTGTCGCACCCCCTTTCAGCACAAATATTCCCTTTCTCTTCTGATATGGGGTCCTTCAAACGAGGCGTGAAGAGGCATCTTGTAGGCGCATGTGGTGGAAGAGGATAGCGTCGTGATGTTGCTTGTATCAACACTAAACTAGGTTCCCGGTTCACGTTTGGATTTCACTTTCCATTTAACATCAGGTGGAGTAGAGTTATCTGCCTATCACGTATAAAAATCATCTATCCCAATTTACATACCGTGGGCATAAATGAAGCTAAGGCACTTGTCGACGATGACGGGCACGTCCTCCTTTGTGAGCTGCTGGTGGTGAATTTGCGCACCATTGTTGTGTGCTGCCAGCTTTATCATGTAGCGCCAGCTCTGAAAACAGATTTAACAAATACGACAGTCTGCAACAATCTTTATTTGCTTAAAGTGAATTGGGAATTTGCAACGAAAATTTGTAATGGAAGTATGTAAAAAAAAATGGCAGTAAATATAAATACTAAATAACATCACAACCGCTGCTCTGATTTTAAAGTAAGTAACGAAAGCAGTTGTGTTATGGAAATCGGAAACAACAACGGTACTACAAACACCTTGACCCCGAGACAATGTAGAGAAGTTATTTTTCTACATTGACCCGGCCGCGGACCGAACCCGGGGCCTCAGTAATAGCGACACTATGAAAACCGGTGCGCTAGTCGCTCGACACGGAGGTCGTCATGTGACTGATGTGTTATCGATAAAGTACGAGCAGAAACAACGTAAATGGCGTTTTCTTAAAAAATAATCGTTGATACAATACCTTGAGCTCCCTCTCGTTCGGGAACCGAAGGTAAATGGTGGCCTGCGGACAGTCGAGCAGTAACACTCCGCTGCCGTCAGACGGACACGCCGACTTGGTCTCTTCGTCCACCTCTTGAGTCACTGGAAATTTAATTGAATTTTGATTAAAATAATATAATATAATATAAAAATAACATTTCCCCCAAAGCACGTCACTGTTCAATGTTCTACCTTCTTATGACTTATTCAGCAAAGTCTCAATTTTATTATCCTATACTTCCAGCATTACAGCGTAATTTAGTAACATTAATCGCACACTATAGTCCATTTGTTTAGGTATCTAACTAAATGTAAACAATCTTGATACATCTTTTTATTAAAACATATGCTTTACAAATCAATAGACATAAAAATAGGCATGCAATTTCATATGAGGCTAAGTATTTGTATTTTGTATTTGAAGGCAAGTAAAAATCATTTTATAAATGTATATTTCATGAAATAGACATCAAAATATTGTTCACATTTAGTTAAGTACCTAAACAAATGGCCTACAGGTCGGATAGGTTACAAGAGCAATGAACTTTCGGACTTTTTTGAGACGAAAACACTTTAAACTCGTTCTTAAAGCAAACGTTACCAAATTAATTGTTAACAATCGCACACTGACAAAAGCAACGATGGTCATTGACATGTCAAAAAACCTGTTCATGTAACATTGGGCGTCTTTCGGTTCTATTTTAGGGACTTTTTTAAAAACATAAATGATCGAAAAGATCCATAACAAAAGGATTCTAATATAGCGAGCTAGCGGTGTACCGGTACAGTCAAAGACACATGAAATTTGACACTGGATTTTAAACCGTTGTAATGTACGCGTCGTAGAGTGGACTATAAATCTTAATTGTCAAGTTAGTTAAGAGTACATTACTCTTGGCCCTGCGCCATGCACAACGTTTCAGAAGAATTCTGTAGGTAGGTTGTTAGGCACATTCACCGGAAAAAAACAAAGTGAGAACATAAAATAGTAAAGTTTATATTATATTTAAAAAATTAGACGTGAAGTAGCAAAAAAATTAACACCGAATTATTTACAGACTTAAGTCAATCTTTATTGAAAAAAAAAAATGAAACAAAATGCACTTTTATTTATATTTTCCGAGCGATGAAAGTTTAAAAATCCTAGCATTTTAACATTGATTAATTCAAACTTCAATAAATGTGGGAAAAGATCTTAAATTATTTATTCTTCCTGTTCCAACTTGTTCCGCCGGACGTCCTCCATGTCAAACAAAACCCATCGCGCTTGTCTTCTCTTTCTTAATTTCAAATCATCCCTCTCTCTTGCACACTCATTTAGATTTAGATTTATTTATATCTTACTATTTATTTTATATACAATATATTGTATTACAAGAATTATAGAATATTCATTTTTAGTGTTAAGATACGGTCACCCATCTCTTAAATCATAATGATGCATGCTTTCAAACAAAACTTGACAAACCTGTATTATGAAGAAATTAAAACGAATTAATGGATGAATATTGACAAATTAGAAGAAAGTAAAAAGCACCATTTCCGAACAAACTTTAATTAATATGTAATATTAATATACATTAACGCCGTGTGTGAATCAAATGTTCTACTATTACTTAATAAACCATGTAATCAATTATTTTTGTCAAATTACGCCACTAGTTTGTTATAATTATTAAAAGATCAAGCACAAAGAAAAATTCATTCCAGGTCCAGCTGAATCGAAGGAATTTTTCATTGTGTTCGATATTGGTATTATGCAAACTAATTTATAAAGATCAAAATTGTTTTTCTTGTAAAATAGGCAATAGACAATAGGCATTATAGGCCAAGCAACAATGTGATCGACGAGGAAACGCGTTAATATAAAAAATTCCTATTCACTCGAGGCTTGAATAGCCTCAAATAGTACCGATCCTAAGAATACTATATAATAATATGCAGTAGAAAAAATAAACGAAGATCTCAGTAGTATAGCTGAGTAGTCCCACAGAAATTGTCTCGTACCGAACCCCAGCAAATCTAAATACCTTATCATGGGATCTGAAAATCATATTACCAAGATAGCGAACAAGCATCCCAACATTGTGATAGGAAGTGAGAGCATAGAAAGGATGCGAGCTGCTAAAAATCTTGGGGCATTAATGGATGATACTCTGAGATTTGAATCTCACGTACTGGATGTAACTCGAATCTGTTTTTTCCTGCTTAAAATATTATATAAGATGCGTGAATTTCTTAGCGAGCAGCTCCGCATACGCCTTTCTGATTCCTTGGTACTATCTAGATTAAACTATGCTGACGTAGTGCACGGGCCGCGACTTTTGGTAAGAACCAAAAGACTACGTAGTACAAAAACATATTTACTGTCGAATGCGACAATCGAAAAATGTAGCGCTTCAATAAGTTTAAGTAGCAGTAGAGCTCCATGTGAAACAGTTCGTCCAGGGCGCTACTGCCACCATACCTGTTTCGCCAAAATACATTTATGCACAACAGGCATCCTGCCTGTACATTGGTAACATTACCACAAACCCAATGACACTCATAATTGAGACTACCCTAATCTGCGTGCATATTACCCTGTTTAATTTAACCATAAAAGAAAGAAACGTTTATTTGGCTATTTACAAATAATATTACGTTACAAATAGTATTAGTTAAAAACACGAGCAAAATTTAAATTAAAAACTAAAGTACTCAATAGTAGCGGAAACGTCTAGCCAGCACAGATTTATGCTGGGCAGCGCCTCAACGCTGGTTTTACCGATTTATGCAGGTTTCTGAGAGGTTTTAAAAATACTTAACATTTATAATTCGTCGTCTTAGAGTAAATACCTCATATGTGATTTCTATGTAATTTTTCAGGACAATGACAAAAATGTGGTGTAAAATGTAGTAAGCACAATAATGTTAGTAGTTAGCCTTTAGTTAGTTAAATTATATCTCTTTCAGATACTATAACAATATATTTGATCAAGAAGTTTACAAGTTTTTCTTCAACAAAAATCAGTAAAAACGAACTATGTGAAAACGCGTATGCGAGGTTTTCACTCTAAGGCGACGAATTGTGTTTACTAAACAGGTTTTAATACAGCCAAATGATAAGAAATATCTGCGGTCTATAGTCACTAACCCTACAATGAAACAATACAAGGAATCACGATGATTCAATAGTTAGCGGTCTTCTTGGAAATAGCTACCATGAGCAGAAACCCTAGTCATATTCGACGGAGGTTAATTATAAAACTGAATCACATTTAGTTTAAACACCTGAGAAGGATTTTACGACGATCGTAAAATAGACGTATGGGCCGTGTGATCGTGAGCATGACCAAGGACGCGATAGTGAATTGTTAATTCGAACTGCAACAAGCCGGTAGGTAAAAACCCAATTGTCTCTAAATTCGACATAAAGTCACGTTCGGTTATCAACGGATCTCACTTATCTCTCTCTTATACTTATACTTAGAAATTGCATAACGTGATATATTCGTATACTTTCGTTATCGTCCATTTAAATATTCCCTTTATACTTTGTACTCATACGTATAAAGTATATAGGATTTTTTTAAATAATAATAACGCACACACTCAACATACTACACTACTACACTAGGGAACCCCTGTGTCGCGGGTGCGATGGCCATACACATAGACAACTACAAATTACACCCAAACTCACAATAAATGAAGGCCATACAAATATTTCTCCCGGCCCGGAAATTGAACCTGGGACTTCTGCATGGTAACCGTGCGACCACATTACCAGTACATTGATTAGTGTTTTTTTTAACTGGGACAGTATGGGGAAATCCGAATCCATAAGAGATACTAGGAAACTGTCTGGAGATACAAGGAAAATTGCCCAGCGGTTTAACGACGCGCTGCACCGATGCCCGATGGCAACTGTTGTTCTTATTTTATTCATATAAATTTTGAGCGGCAATTTTGAGCACACCTCACCTCCTAAAATGTAGGCTCACGTAGAAATACTTTACCTTAGGTGGTAAGGAGAATCAATCTCGCCATGTAGTATGTGCGGCGAACAAGTCGCTCATAAGACACAACAAATTCACACTGATGTTTACAATGTACTCAGTTACATCTGTCGCAGATAAACGGGACGTTATATACGTTTTAGTGGGTACATAAATATATAGTTATATTTATACGCGAATAAAACAGAAGTTCACATTTCAAAATAACTTGGCTTACGTGAATTGACGTCCTTGTGTGTCGCGTATTATTGAAGCATTTTGAATTGAACAGGTGGTTCAGTGTATACGTAATTTAAGATGCATGTACTGAAAATTGTTTTACGAATAACTATATGTATAGATATATAAACTGTTAACTCACACGATACACACTTTCTTTAAGATGTATACAGCTACGCATAAACTTAATTTATGTCAGCTCCTTAACAGCGTTTTTATTGTCCGCAGACTTGATTGAATACGACAAAATTTAATTAAATTTTTATAAGCCCAAAAAATTGTGATTATCCCGCTTCTAGGTGATTGTACTACCCAGGTTATTCATAACTCAGTTAATTTTTATTAAACGACTTCAAAAAATTAGGAGGTCTTCAATTCGCCTGTATTTTTTTTGTAAGTATGTTATACGATAACTATTAACTTTGTTAACCGATTTTGAGGATTCTTTATTTCTGTTGAAAAGAGAGTAGCTTAGTAGTGGTTCCATTTAAATTTGAGGAAAAGATTTCACCACTAATGCTCAGGCCACACAGAGGCGGCCGCGGAAGCGTTCCAGGTGCGGGATTATTTGTAATGTATTTGTTTGTTTGTAATGTGGCCAAAGCATAAGGGGCCTTTATTCGACACGAATTTTATCGCGCTCACGCGACTGTATACGTTAGCTGTCATGGCAAAGTACGCTCTGTTTATTAAGCATTTAATTAACTTAAATGATCGTCCCGAGCGCACGGGCGAGTCTGGCTGGTCTTTGGTCTACGCGGCGACCGCGCGGTTGTATTGTTCAGAGGAATTTAAATGTTGTTGCTTAATAAATAGAATTCTGATTCTGATGAAAGCGTGGTAACTGGGCGCTAAAGGTGGCAAACTAGGGGTTGAAGGACTTTTCACACAGGGCAGGTCGGTTTTTTAGTACTCTGTACTGAGATTAAGTTTATTATAATATACACGAATATCGACGGTAAAAATATTCCTAAAAATATAAAATTTAATGGTATTCCTTTAAGTTAAGATACTATGTTACTTATAAGGAATTCTTATAAATCCTTATAAATGAACCCTTTCTATTGTCATCAAAAAAATAAAGGATTTTATTTTCACATTTAAACAATTCGATTCCCAGATGAGCGACTTTTTAAAACCTTTACTTTTGAACAAAACGCCATGAAGCAAAATATCCTATTTACAACAGATGAAAGTACTTTCCCTCCGTGTCGCATCGCCGAGAGACATGTATAGGTAATAGAAGTCTATTACCTTATATATATAAATGTTTGTTTATATAATTGTCCCGTCGTATGCGTTCCATCATTACTCATCAGATTGCGATAAAATTATCATGACTTGTGTCAACACACGCAAGTTTCTGGAGTTTTAACCATTGTAAAATATCAGGCAGGCCAATTGTTTCAACAATGTGCCCACAGTTGAAAAGGCAGCTCTTCCGCAAGATGCACTTTCAAAACAAACAGTTTTTTTATCTTTCAGAGGCAGCAAAATTAGACGGCCACACAAACAATATGACTTTGATGACCTTATAGCGCGAACGCGATCAACTCCAACAATGATAATAGTGATGTTATAAATAATTATCCAAATCAATGTTCCAAATATAAAAAAGTACAAAAATAAATTGTTTTAGGAGTTGGGCCCACGTCGCGCTCGCTGAGCAACTCGGTAGTCAGCCTGGTTTAAACACAAAGCTTTGCCATTAGTTTGACTGCAATCAACCCAAAAGGGACCAACCCTGAAGTAGAAACACACACTTACCAACGCATCGTGTCTTGCGCAGGTCGACTGTACACATATTGGGGCCAGTGTCGGGCAGCGGCGCCGTGTAGTACGCCAGCACGCGCCGCACTAGCATCACCCACGCACCGCGCCACTCGCCCGTCACTCCTTCCTGTGTAATACAAAAGTTAATTCGATACATTAACTACTCGTACTTATCCGACAATTTACGTTTTATTCTTGTAATGTTGGTGTCAATTTAAGAAAATCATTATCCTAATCATCACGAACAAATTATGTCCCACTGGTGGGTACGGGTCTTATCTAAAGAGATAGTTTAGGCCCAGTGCGTCTTCGATGTGGCGGTTATATAACGTTACTTTCCTTCTCCCTTAGCGAGAAGTATCACTACAAAACATTCACAAAAGTGCGTAACTTTGAAATTATAGTCACAAGTACAAGCCGCCACAGGGATTCGAACCGAAAACATCACGAATGGGAGTAGAAAGTTTCCCAATAGGCTATCACCACTGATATAAGAAATCCAAGCCCAAATCTAACTAGTCAATTACTTATTACCAAGAAACAAAACTTTTATTCCCAAAAAAAAGATGAAGGAGTAGCGTTGCAGTCTAATTCAATAGTATGTATGTGTATGTAGACGAGACATAAAATTAAATTGGCGAGCAATACGTTGAAATTAGAACAACTAAAAATAAACGAACACTATAATAATAGTCGTGACGATGATGATCTCCTTCGTCGTAATCCCACCTTTGTGTCACCCTCTTTACTGGTTCTTGGCCACTTACTATTAAAATTTTCAATCGTTCTCGAATTCGCTTTTCCTTCACTATTCTTAGGTTCGTACCGTCGTCACTCCCATCAAAATTCTCAAAATAAAAGGAAGTGCTCATAAATCATAACCCTCATTTTATTGGATCGCGTGATTTACCGTTAAATCATTAGACATGTAGACCGTTTTGGAGGTGAGTATTGTCTGGAGTAGTCAAGTGGGGAGTATTTCATACTAATTGTATTTTTCTATATTATTTTATTGTTGCTGGTTTCCATTTCTAGTTCAAAAAAAAATACGTGGACCGATCCTTTCCTTTCCTTTCTTTTCCTTTCCTTAAGCTTAGCTTGTAAAGAATAATAATACCCACATTAAAAAAGTTTTAAAAATAGTAATGCGATAATGGACAGCACGCCGTGCATGTGGTGGCTTTGGCACCATTATTAAATTTAGAAAACGTTATATAATTTTTACGCGTACAGAAAGCAAAAGAGATTCTAATCTCTAAGTCTCGAAGTCAAGACGAATTTTATAGCAATAAATCTTCTAGTAAAAGACTTGACGCCCAGTGAAGCACCGTACTATTTCTGCCACCAAGCGAGCATTACTGAATTCTCGTTTTGAAAAGTAAAGACGTTGTAAAATTAAGGCACATGGGACTTGTCAACTTTACGTCTCAGTGTGACGGACTCAGTAACAGCCACCCTCGGGTCTTTGCGATTTAAAGCTCTGAATGGCACTGCAACTGTTAGCGCGCTTGCGGACTGCATTCGATTCGTATTCGTTCCGAATTCGACACTACACAAACCTACAAAACTCGGACCCACTTCGGATGTCGCTTGTGCTCCTAAGCCCGATTCGAATATCCCTTGTACACCTAGAGACAAAGTGACCCCTGTAACATTTCGGACCGTCAATTCTTGGACTCGGCATTGATACGAACCGGACATAAGTGTACATACGCTCTTATGGGTAGACGTGTCACTTACCAGCAGCCACACATACAACTTGTTCGTTCCGTCACTCAAGTGACGACACAATGTCATAAAAAAAAGAATCAATACTTAAATGTTTGTTTCCTAGTTTCATCCATTTATAGTTAAATTCTGAATCATTCTATGTAAATAACTTTTTTCGATCAAATAGGCAAGTTAATCCATTCGTGCTTTTTTATCGGTTTGTTTGTCTAGGAAATCAAACACGAGAATTCATCATGACCAGAAAAATTAACCGGTAAACCGAGATCGCCGTAGGAGACGAAACAATACATACACGTAAAGCTGCTAACTAACTGTAAAGAAACTTAAACAAATATACGTACATAACCGAACCAGGTCAGTAGGTTCAACGAATGGTACATAACAACGCTCTCTCAAACAGACAACCTCTGTCGCCCAGCGGTGCCGGTGCGACACGTGTGCGTTAAATGAAGAGTCCCGCGTTCGATTCACGACAGGACCAATTCGAAAACAAATTTTGCGACATTGATTCTGGACTAGGTAATAACAAATATAAATAAGTAAATATAGACAACATCACATCCGTTGCTCTGATCCCAAAGTAAGTAACTAAAGCACTTGTGTTATGGAAATCGGAAACAACGACATGGTACCACAAACACTCAGATCCGAGCCAGTACAAAAAAGTTAGTTTTGTAAATTGAGGCCGTCGGGAGGTCGTCGTCAGGTGGTCTGGCCTACCAGACCCTTTTTTTTTTCTTTTTTTTTTGACCTGACCCTAACTGGTATCACAGAAAATTTCTAAATTATGACCAGGTAATTGAAGTATTGTCCGGTATATTATTAACTCCAATCGTGTAACGAAACGAAAAACAACTATAACGACATATTACTACAATAATGGCATGCTAGGTTAGGATCATGCCATTTTCTTCAACTCGGCGCAATTGCACTAAAGCAAGCAGGGGCCTTACCATGAACTCGTATTACGATTCAGTTTAGGACCTAAAATCATCACATGGACATCAACTTTATTGTTTTTTTAGTACAAGCGCATTGCTGTAACCAGGTCCTCAATTCCACTAATTTTCTTGAAACCACTCGTCATTGTAATTCTTAATTAATTATGTTACAATTATGACAATATTGGTTGTTCTGCTAAAATGGTAGTTGAGTCTAAAAAAAAGTGTCAATGGAATAGTACTGGTGGCATTCATAACTCATCATGGAAGAATGGCATACGTAGAGTTACGTCAAACATGTTTATTGCTCTATTAGATACAAAAAAATACAACCTACGTCCTCTCCAATTCTTGTAACTCTGTCTACAATATGCATATAAAGCTTTAGGCCAATTTTATTCACCGGTAAAAGCGTTGTTGTCTTTCCAGTATAAAGAAGTACTGCATACGGTTGATATTTGAATGAAATTCCATAAAACATTCTTGTTTATATTAGAAAAACGACCTTATGTCCTTAACTTCAAAGGCATAAATACCTTAATTTTTCTTTTCATATTCATGACTATAGGATCATACCATCCATTTCAATGTTATTACATTTTCTAATCCCAATATTAAAAAAAACTCCCGGCGTTAAGTTAATAAAAATGCATATGTACGCGTCGCGTCGATGTGGTGTTTACACCACAGTATTAAAACATATTATCGTTGGTTTGTAATATTAATAACACGCACACACAACCCCGCACTAGGAAAAACCTGTACCGCGGGTGCCATGGATACACAGACAACCACAAATTACACCCAAACTCGCGAGAAAGTCCAGGTCATACAAATATTTCTCCCGGCAGTTTAGTTTAATTTTATGACAAATTATTAATTATTCTGGGATAAATATTAAAGAGAACAAAAGTTTAATCAGGCCTAGGCCTACCCACAGATTTAATTCTTTTTCGAGAGTTGCATTGACAGAAATCGTACTCAGAATTTTGCAAGCTAGCGGTTCCATTTTACGCTAGCCAATTCGACGAAGTGTCGTTATCGCCCGAACGAGGCAGCAGGAATTATCGCTAGTTCAGTGGATACATATATCGCTAGTTACTACAACATTACATTCTTCATACAATTAATTTCATTCATGATACGTACTACTAGAGTGATATTCTTTTTTTATGATAACAAGTGACGGGACGAACAAGTGGTGCGCCTGGTGGTAAGCGACACGCCTGTCCATAGCAATTTCAATGCCACTCAGAGCTTTAACTCGCAAAGATCTGACGGGCACAGCCACAGCGCCCGTCACCATGAGACATAAGTTGACAAGTCCCATACTGGATCGCAGTATTGCTCATATTACAGCGTAGTGCAGGTAAGGTGGCAATACTTCCCTGGACCAACTCTAATGCAACGGAAACTTCCCATATTATGAGTGATAGACATATTTTGTGATTACTTTGCAATGCTTAAATTATTTTCTTACACCATTTTGTTGTATTATGTTTATTTTTAGGAGTATGTTTGATTTCAAGGCGACAGAAGAAGAAAGAAAAAATTTATAACGACAAAATTTTAAATTTAGAAGCTTAAAAATTACATTATCTATGAATAAAGATTAAATATATAAATAACATTTAAAAATACGGTCGATGGGCGATAAAAAGAAAAATATTTGTAACATCGGCGTGAAAAAACGCGCATGGCGCAATATAAAGGCGGCAGGAAATCACGAGTGAATCATACAATAGACACCAGCTATAATCTCAATCAATGTAGTAACAAAATAGACCGAAGAATAAACATGTCGTGTGGACTTTCGTTTAGATGTGTTTCATACCACAAAGAGGACGAAATAAGTATTGCATGTATATTAACGTACAATCCGGAACAACCGCACGTCTATTTAGAGCAAAAAAGCATAACTAGCAGCGCGCACAATACGCTGAGACAAAACAAAAAATCTAGTACAACCTTTTGTTCAGTGTCACTCAACTTTCCAACATCGAAACTGCTTCGTTCTTTACGATATGTCAGTTTTAGAGATAGTAAAATGATTCCTTCCTAATTAGTTGTGGATATTCACAGTCATCATTCATCATTAGAATATAATTCGTTATCAGAAATACAATATACTTATTATCGTAGTCACAAAAATGTGTGTATATATGTACACATTGTGGCTTCACACTATTATTGAAACCACAATCATCATTTTTAATCTATATAATATATAAATTCACTGGTAGATGTGCGCACAGCAAAAACTACAATGTCCACTTAAGTACATCTTAAACCAGTGCTTGCAGTGCAAGAGACTCTTAGTACATTGTATTAAGGATGGCTTATCAATTTAGGCATAGATTTAAGACGGTACTTTAGTTTAGGGCAAGTGGACATAGTTCTAGAAACGCGAAAACTCGGGGGTATGCAACTTTTATTTGGTTTAGGCGTACTAATA